GTTTCCTTCTTTCATGTCTATATACAGATTTCCAGCAGAATTTGTGGCCCAGATAAAAATGTGTGATTTCTTAACTCAAGATCTGGAGTGGATGTGGATCTTCCTTCTTCTAATTAAGCATAAGTTTTTCACTTATGTGCCCCCCATTTTGGAATTATATTTAATTGCATATTTAGTCAAGTTGACAAACAAGATTAACCATCAAAATAATGCCTAAACATGATATGACTACAATGCAGAAAATCAGTTATACATTATATCTTTAAACAGGTCAAAATTATGCCTAGAATGATATAACTCTTCAATGTACAGTTGAAATGCATTATGAATATAGAATAGTGGCAATGTCCTTTGAGTGACATTTATGTAATATCTCAAACTGAATAATGGTATATATAATTTCAATTTTTGGTTTAAATTCATAAACACACAAATATATGTATTTATGTGTATATATAATCATTCACACACATATACACTTCAAAAAGTATGGCAGGTATTAAAGTGTGTCTTACTGTCTCAATATCCAGATTAAAGACATGCAATTTACTGACTCAAGATAAAGACTACAAGAATATCTTTCTGTTTCAAATTAGGAAAAATAAATCTCTCACTTTCATGCCCTCTATTTTTGGAATTTATTTTAATTCTGGATATTGTCAAGTTGACAACTAAAAATAACATCACACCTGCTTCCTTTTTATCAATGCTATACATATACCATATGTATATTTGCATGTTTTAGGTTACATATATGAGTGGGACAACATAATATTTGCCTTTTCAAGTTTTGAGAACTTCATTTTGCATGATCATCTTTAGTTCTATGTACTGTTCACAACTTACATGATTCCGAAATTCTTTATTATGGGTACATATAATATTTCACTATGGGAACATAGTGATACCTTCCAAATTTGTGTCTTTTTTCTTCATTAATAATTGTGACATTCATATTTGTATATAATATGTATTTCTAAAGATATAAAAACCACATAATAACTCTGCAAAATGTTATTTTTATGTATGTTTTTTGGGATTAAATATTTGGTATTTGCTACACCAATATGTGAACCTTTCCCTGGAGAAAAAATTGTCATTTCTCACACCCTCAACATTCTTTTTTAATTTTAATTAATTAATTTAAATAACTGTCTTTTCTAATTTAACTATCAATCCTAGTTCCTACTCCCTACCCTCCTTCAGCTCCCTCCACCTTTCTCCTACCCCACTCCCTATCCATTCTTCAGAGAGGGTAAGGGTTCCCATGGGAAGACAACAAAGTCTAGCACATTGCTTTGAGGTCAGACCAAGTTCCTCCCCACTATATCTAGGCTTATTAAGACATCCCTCCAAAAAGAGTGGGTACCAAAAGTCAGTACAAACAGTAGGGATAAATCCTGCTCTTACTGCCAGGGGCCCCACAGTCTGCCCCAGCCATACAACTGCCACCCGTATTCAAAGGATCTTGTTTGGTCTTTTGCTGGTGCCTTTGGTGTCAGGCCAGAGTTGGTGAGGGGCTATTAACTACGGCAAGTTATTTCAGTGGATATCCCCATCATAGTCTTGATGCCTTTGTTTATAAAATTTCTGCTCCTTCTCTTCAACTTATCTTTGGGAGCTCTGCCCAGTGTTATGCTACGGATCGGCATCTGCTTACATTAGTTGCACATGAATATTTTTTGATTACATTAAAGATAGTCTTCAATCTGACTAAAGGGCAAGGCTAGTTCAGGCACCTTCTCCACAATTACTTAGGGTCTTAACTGGGGTCATCCTCTTGGATTCTTGGAAATTTTTATGGTGTCAGGATTCTTGATAGCCCCATAATGGCTCCCTCTATCAACAAGCCTCTTTCTTTGTTCTCCCTCTCTGTTATTTCCCCATCTTGACCCTCCTGTTCTCTCAAGTTCTCTTTCCCTCTTTCTTTCTCTCCTCCTCCTTCCCTTCTGTCCTCCCTTCTCCCCCCGCCCCAATGTTCCCAATTTTTCTTGGGATATCTTGTCTCTTTTCCCTTCCCAGAAAGATCTATGTATGTTTCTCTTAGGGTTCTCCCTGATACCTAGCTTCTTTGGTGTGCTGAACTATAGGCTCCTCATCATTTGCTTTACATCTAATATACACTTATGAGTGAGTAAATACCATGTTCATCTTTTTGGGTCTGGGTTACCGCACTGAGGATAATTTTCTCTACTTCCATCCATTTTCTTGTAAATTTCATTGGTTTTTTTTTAACCACCGAGTAGTACTCCATTGTGTAAACATACCACTTCTTTTTATTCATTCTTTGATTGAGGGGCATCTAGGTTGTTTCCAGGTTCTGCATATAACCTGCTTACATTGATGGTTTTCCTGGCACCTATATGTAGGTCTGTATTTGGAGATTGATGATTTTAATTTGCCTTTATAATAGCGTATCTTACTTTCTCCATATATTGTGATTGATAAATTTTCTGAGTATTATAGTCATGTCTGGCAGTTTAGGACTCTGAGTGTCTGTAACATATCACTCCAGGACTGTTCTGCTTTTAGAGACTCCACTGAGAATCCATTGTCATTCTACTAGGTTTGACTTTATATGGTTTTTGTGCCTTTTCTATTCCATATTCTAATATTCTTTCTTGGTTCTATAGTTTGGAGGCTTATTACTGTTATTATTGTTATTATTATTTATTATTATAAGGTGGTGAAGGGACTTTTTTCTGGTAGAATCTATTTGTTTTTCTATATGATTTTGTATCTTTGTAAACATCTCTTTCTTTGGGTTAGGAAAATGTTCTTATATAATTTTGTTGGAAACATTTTCTGGGCTTTGGAGGTAAGTTTCTTTTCCTTCCTCTGTTCTTATTATTCTTAGGTTTGGTTTTTTTCACAGTAACTATATTTCCCTAGATCATTTGTTTTAGGAGGGTTTTAGATACAAAGTTTTCTTTGACCAATATTTTCATATCCTCTAATTTATCTTCAATGTCTGACAATCTCTTTCCATTCTCTTGTATTCTGTTAGCAAAGATTTCTTCTGTAGTTCCTGTTCTACCTCTAATTTTTCTTTTTTAGAATTTCCTGTTTTATTTTCTTTATTGATTCTATTTTCATTTTCAGGTCTTGAACTGTTTTATTTGTTTCCTTCCTCTGTTTGTTTATGCTTTCTTTTATTTCATTAATGGATTTATTATTCTTTTTCTCCAATTATTTATTTGTGTTTTTCTGGATTTATTCATTTCTCACTATGTTTGTTTTCGTGAATTTCTTTAAGGAACTTATTAATTTCTTACTTTAAATAACTAACATTATCCTTTAGTTGTTTTATGGTCTTTTTCTTGTGCTACAGTTATGTTGGAATATTCAGGACCTATTGTGGCTCTATAGCTGGGTTTTAGAGCAGTCACCTTGTTCTGGCTGATATTGTGTTCTTATGTGGGCAGTTAACATCTGGGTTTGGGGTGTTTATAGGTTTAGGTACTAGTTTCTGGATTTGTCTTTTTGGGTAGGTGCTTAAATACTTGATTAATATTTCCTCTCTGGAGTTTCAGAGAGTATGTTGACTGTGTATAGTTGATTTTGATGTTTGTTCAGCTGTAACATTCAGAGGAAACTTTGGTTAGCAAAGATGCCTGTTTGTCTTGGTGTTGTATCCCTGTCCTGATCAGCTGCTGTGTTCCCAATGAATGTCTACTGGAGTTGGAGGCTGGGACAGTGGGATGAACTTAGTGAAAGAAGGTTGAGGAAGAAAATATTTATCATTCACTGGGGATGGGATTACTGAGGAAAAGGAAACATCAGGAATTTTCTTGCTACACACCTGTGTCAGAGATTTGATCTCAGGAGCAGAGGAAATGGTGTAAGTCCCCTTTCAGTCTACTTGTTGCCCTGTGGGGCAAGGCCCTTGGAATAGCAGGGAGTACCTGGTGGGACTGGAAGCTGGGATAAAACAAGGACAGAGAAGGAGATTAGAATGGGAAAACTGGGCAAATGTACAGGAAATGGACGTAGGGGGAAAGTAGGTGGAGGGTACTGGGCCATGGAAGGCTGAAACAGTTTCTCTGCTATAGAGCTGAGAATGAGACTAGGGAGACTGGCTCTCAGGAGCAGAAGGAAAAGGTGTAGATCCACCTTCAGTCTACTTGTTGCCCTGTGGAGAGAGGCTCTTGGGCTAGCAGGGTTTACTTGATGGGCTTAAGTCTGGAGAGAAGCAAGGAGTAGGGTGAAGGAGATTAGAAGTGGAACCATCTAGGCTGAATGCACAGGCGATAGTAGTTGGAAGGAAGATCTACAGGGTCAGAGTTGACTGAGTCTGTGGGATTGGATCTAGGGGAACAGAGTGTTATTTTTAAAAAGTATAACCACATCATTTGCCCCTTCCCTTTACTCCCATCCTACTTCTTTTTGAAATTCATAGCATATTTTAAAATTAATTTTCATTATATATAATTTGCTAATCAAACAAGAACCACACACATAACAGAACCAGATGATTACCCATCTCCCATCTCCTTCAATAGCTGTTATCACCAGAGTCCAATGTGAAGTGTCATTAGTAAAGACCCCTATGTCACATTCCCACTGCATCACTGTCACATATTTTACCTATGGGTACACTCTACCACCTATATATCTCCTACTATTAGAGCTTTCTCTTTATTTCCCTATTTCCATGCCTTCTCAGAGGTAGCGTTTTTTATTTACCCCCTCCCAAATAAATCTCTTTCATGAGGTCTGAGGTTTGGTGTGATTTTATGTTATTCTTTTGTCTTCCAATTGCCAGGGTACCCTTTATTACATAAATTTATATTGGTGCAGGAATGTGGATTGACTCTCTTGAGGTTTGTGTTCTCCTCTGGAATCTGAGCCACACTAGAGTCCATCCATCTGCTCCACCCAAAATGGATCGATCACCTTCTGACTCTGATTGCTAAACCCTCCATCAAACACTGGTCATTGGTAAGTTGCCCCTCTGGCCAGTGTAAACACTTCCCTGAGTTTGAACAAGTGATCTTTGCTCTTTCAGCACCCCTCTGGTACACTTGAAGGCAGAGGTACCACGGGCCATCGTGATTAAGGCTACTACTTGACCCTTTTTACCCACCCACCTTCGGACTCTTCCCCTCTGGTAAGGCTTCAATTTTTAGCTCAGTTTAGTCTTCTCTGTCTCTTAGAACTGACCCCCACTGTGTGGGATGATGTCCCACTGAGCTCTTTGTCTTCCTTCTTCTTTGCTGAGTTCTGAGGATACCCTTCACTTTAGGACTAGAATCTTCTCTTCTTTTTTACTGAGAGGAAAGATATCATTCATACCTTTTGGATCCTCCTTGGGATGCCTCTTAGAAACCTTCAGGTCTATCCACCTGGCACCTGACCTGATGATCCCAAAATTATTTGGTTCTGTAACAAATCTGGAATCAAGGTCCCATAGATAATCAATTGAAATACAGGATCTCAGATCCCAATGTTCAGGATATTTACAAATACTCCAAGTGATCAGAGGCCAGAGGATTAAAAGAGTTTTCCTATTCCCCTTTTCTCTCTCTTTTTTTGTGCACAAAGCCCTATGTTTTTCTCTGCTGCATCCCATCCATACCTTGTGTAAATGTTCTGTCTTTCATATACCATAAACACATCTTTAAGATACCATCTGTAACTTTGCTGCTAAAAGGTAGTCAGAACAAATAATTGAGGCCATTTCCCAAGTGTTGTTTATGATTCAAGGTCAGAGCTTGAAACAACTTTAATTTTTCATACACTTCCTACCACTCAGGTCCAGGTCATTAGTTATTATTGCTAACTCTTGAATATCAATGTCATTTTCTGTCTGGGAACCCTAACCTTTTGAACTACGTGCATAGCTAAGCCTTAGTTACCCACTGGCAGGTCAATGTGACCACCCTAGCCAAAGAGAAACTATGTGGATTATCAGGTATTATGAGACTGGGTCAGTCCCTGGATTTGTAACTCATAATTGTCCAGAGTTTGGTTGTGAGAGAGCAGGAGTGGCAGTGCTGAGAAAAGGTGGATGTGGAGATAGAGTAGTAAGAGATGAAGAAGGAGAGGACCGAGACACAAAAAGAGGAATATGGTATGTACTCACTCATAAGTGGATTCTAGCCATAATTAAAGGTCTTTGAGCCTATAATTCGTGATCCTAGAGAAGCTAAATAAGAAGGTGAACCTGAAGAAAATCATAAAGTTATCCTCCTGGATATTGGAAGTAGACAAGAGTCCCAGGTAACCTCGGGTGCATGGCGGGGTGGGAGGGTTGTTGGAAGGGGAGAAGGTTAGAGAGAAGAGAGTAGGAGAGGAATGGGGAAAGCTCGGTGGACTGGGATGGGGGGGAGGGAGGAAGGATGGATATGGGAGCAGGGAAGTATATATCTCAACTAAGGGAGCCATTTGAGGGTTTGCAAGAGACTTGATTCTAGAGGGGTTCCCAGGTCCAAGGAGAGGTCCCCAGATTGTTCCCTGGGCAGCAGAGGAGAGGGTGCCTGAAGTGGCCTTGGCCCATAACCATACTGATGAATATTTTGCATATCACCATAGAACCTTCATCTGGCGATGAATAGAGATAGAGACAGAGACCCACATTGGAACACTGGACTTAACTCCCTAGGTCCAAATGAGAAGCAGAAGGAGGGAGAACGTGAGTAAGGGAGGCAGGATCAGAGGGAACCTTCATCCGACGATGGATGAAGATAGAGACAGAGGCCCACATTGGAGCACTGGACTGAGCCCCCAAGGTCCAAATGAGGAGTAGAAGGAGGGAGAACATGAACAAGGAAGTCAGGACCGTGAGGAGTGCGTTCACCCACTGATACAAGGGGACTGATCTAATGAGAGCTCACCAAGGCCAGCTGGACTGGGACTGAACGAGCATGTGATCGGGCTGGATTCTCTGAATGTGGCTGACATGGGGCTGACTGAGAAGTTCTATCCAGAGAGGTGAGTGTGCACTAGCCAGGGCTGACTGTCCAGGAAGAGAGCATAGTACCCCACTCAGTTTCTGCGGCAGGGTCTTCGGTGTTCCACTGGACTCTTCCCTGCCACCACTGTCGCCTACCCTGCTCCCACTGTCACCCTTTTGTCTCCTGTGTCCTTGGAATACCAGCTGTCCCTATTTCAGTGTTGAGGAGATCCAACCAGAGGGGTGAGTCTGGGCTATCCGGGGCGGAACTCCTCAGCACTGCAATAAGGACAGCTGGTATTCCAAGGACACAGGAATAGAAACAGTTCTATGTGGGCCAGACCCTCTCCTGCACACAACCATTTTCCTGTGTGTGTGAAAGAAGGTAACTTTGTCTTATATATAAGTGAGATACACTGTGTTTTTTAACTGAAATAAAAGAATAAGATATGTGCTGATTTACTGGATGTGTGGTTAGTTGTATGGGTAGGCTAGGATCAATGGCTTAAGCAAATAGACAAATGTTGAGTGTCAGGAACTGTGCAACCTTGTCTGGTATCAGCATATGAATGCCTATCCAGTGGGTCTTTGCAAGGCAAAGCCAGTGGAGACTGTCACTTGACAAGAAACAGTGGACCTTGATACAGAGCAGAACACTACTGTAATCTCATGGGTTGTAGGCCCTTTTCTCTTTCATTATGTTGTTGATTCTTTTGGTGGATTTTCATTTTACTTTGTTAGTCATACATTCAACAGCTGTAATTTTTCCCTGGAAACTTCTTTCTTTCTAAAATGTTTTCCACTAACATTCATCAGAGGCCTAATGCTTGTCAAATTTCTTATCTGAAATTATTAACAGCAACTCCTAATCCTGGGAACTTTACTGATTCAGTAGAGGCAGTTAAAATTAATGGGACTTGCTTTCATACCTGTTCTCCAGGAAAGGCAGATAGCACCATCCTGTGGGGAAAAGTGTTCATAGACCAGCAGTGGCGGGAAATAATGGATACATATGAGGGAACAATTTCTGGAACATTAACCATGCCTCCCAGTCCCAGAAAGGAGATTAAGTTGATCAATACACAGAATATAGAAAAAGTCTCAGAGATAAAAGTAGTGTCAACTGTTGATAGTAAGTTTCCTGATGTGGGAAGTCCTTCTATCCATATTTGCTTTTATTGATTAATGAATAAAGAACTGGCTTGTCCTATAGCATGAGATGAAGAAGGTGGAGTCAGAGAGAGAAGCCTTGGATCCACAAGAGTCAGACATGCTGAAACTTTGCTGGTAAGCCACTACTACGTGGCGATACACGGATAAATGGAAATACGTTAAATTAAGGTGTAAGAGTTAGCCAAAAAGAAGCTAGAGCTAATTAGTCAAGCAGTATTTTAATTAATACAGTTTCTGTGTGATTATTTCAGGACTGAGCAGCTGGGAGCAACCAAATGACCCACCCTCATGCAATAGTTTTCTGGATACCAAGCATACAAAATCAATGAGAGGATCTAGAATTCTTCAAAAGGGAAAAAATGCAATGCAAAATGTGGCATGGATAGATCCCTTTTGACCATACACAGGAGCATGTATTGATGGATGATGAATGCTATGGTGGAATGGGAAGTTCCATCTAAGTCTGCACTTTGGGGACAACTGAGAGGAGTATCACTCTCTTGTATGCCAGGGGACTATATGTCGTATAGACACAAAAGAATTGTTCAGTTTCAAATATTGTTGTCCTTAGAGCAATGTAATAATATCTAAAACCTTTTAACTTTGTAACTGTAAGTAGCTGCCAGATCTCATAAGTGCTAAAAGAACAGAATGTGCCTGAATTGATAGTTAAGCTTGAAAAAATGCTGAAATATTTGTCTAGAATCAGGTTATGTAGAGATTGGGAAAATGTGTTTGGAGAAGCATGAAAGGAAAAGGGGGGACTTTTATGATGACTATGACATAATTCTTACAAATAAATAAATAGAAATCAATAATAAAACTGTGCATGTAATCCTAGAAGAACAGGACAGAGAAATACTTGAAGTATATGACACCATAAATTGAATGAGCCTAGCATATATTTATGATCACTTCACTAACACCTAAATCCATATACTTTATTCTCACCAGTTCATGGAACTTTCTCCAAAACTGAACACATACTTGGACACAAAGCATTTCTCAACAGATGGAAGAAATTAAGACAACACCTTGAAAACTCTCTGACTGCCATTGATTAAAGATGGATACCACCACCAATAGAAACCACAGAAATGGGAAATGAATAATGCACTACTCTAAGAAAATTGGGACAAGAGTAATGAAGTTTTTGTAAATTGAATGAAAGTGAACAACAAAAACTATGACACACAATGAAGTCACTCCTAAGAGGTAAGTTGAAACTCCTAATTGTCAATAAAACAAAGGAGAAGAAGAAGAGGAAGAAGAAGAAGAAGAAGAAGAAGAAGCAGAGGAAGAGGAAGAGGAAGAGGAAGAGGAAGAGGAGGAAGAGGAAGAGGAAGAGGAAGAGGAAAAAGAAGAAGAAGAAGAAGAAGAAGAAGAAGAAGAAGAAGAAGAAGAA